TGAACAAAACCCAACTTGCCTCAGAATGGAAAAACAATTTACGTGAATTTTTAATGGGTGTTTTTATTCACAATTAGGAATTTATGGCAGCCTTGGAGACAGAAATGGTATTATTTTCAAGCTTCTGAGGAGCTTCAGATAAAGTAGTCTTTGTATAATATGCTTGTAAATCCGTTCTGCACTGAGCAAGGCTCATGCTTTCTTACCCTTCATGAGCTCCTAGACAAATGCCAGCTGGAGATTCAAAGGATGAGCTTTCAGCCTCCCTGATTCCTGAAGGATGTGGAAGAGATATTATTCTTCTCTTCCATTCCTCAACTCCCAAATACTGGTCTCAAAACCTACTGATCTTTCAAGAGCTAGTGGAGGCCAGATGTATGGAGACATGTGGGAGCTTAATGCCTCTGCTTTCTTTCCAAACATGAGGACTTTGGTTGCCTCCTGAAAGCTTTCCCAAGGGAAGGGGTTTGGTGGTTGTTTGGGGAACTGGTTAGCATTAACTCAGTGTGCAATTTCCTGTCACTTGTGAGATGGTGAATAAGCTGAAGAAAGTAGGTGGCCCCACTTTTTCATATATTGTTGTGAAATTGGGATCTTTAGGATAAAAAAACATGTAAAGTTTTCAGTTGGACTGTAATTTAAAACAAATATCTCACCACCCAGTGTTTTAGCCTAGAGGAAGAGGTTTGAACCCATGTCCTTTGCTAAGGTATTAGATGGCTTTTTCACTGCTGCCTTTTTTAACCTGTGTAAGACTTGGGGTGCCGAACCTCATCAGAATGAAAGAGACATTGTCCATCTTTACTTTCCCCAATGAAACCAATGTTTTGCTCACTGTGAGACAGGTGAGTAACAGAGTGCATTTGGTTACAACCATCAGAAATGCTGATGCAGTTTGGGTGAGGGAGTAAATGAAAAGCTGGAGATGTATCACCAAAGCAAAGATCTCTTTTCTGTCTTCAGACCAAGTCCGAAACAGCTATTACATTGGTGCTGATGGCTCTCTCAGACTGATGCTCGCTAATGGCATGGAGGTGGCCCTGCAAACTGAGCCACATCTGCTGGCTGGCACCGTCAACCCCACAGTGGGGAAGAGGAATGTCACCCTGCCCATTGACAACGGGCTCAATCTCGTGGAGTGGAGGCAGAGGAAAGAGCAAGCAAGAGGGCAGGTCACCGTCTTTGGGCGTCGGCTGAGGGTAAGTGAGAACCATGAGCAGTTTTGGCCTCCACTTCCTATTTCATCAGTTCCTAGTCTTATGGCAGAAAGGGATGGGTCTGACTTGTATTGTCTGCAATAGGGATGAAGCTGCAGGACAGAGAACTGGCTGTTCATCCTCAGTGGCACAACCTTTACAACTGGAATATATCCTTATGTCTCCTGATGTGCTGATGTTCTCTTGGCCATTGCAGGTAGTACTCCTGATCTCCCTACAAGTCCTCTGCATCACCAGCAGAGCATGAACTCCCACCAGACACTACAAGTTTAATCATTGTCTCAGGCTGTTTGAGCAAGCAAGGGACAGTCATAACTATAAAATACTGCACCAATTAGTATAGGTGTTTTCTACCTGTGTTGCTGGCAGTAAAAGAGCAGAGCACTGAAAGCTTTCTAAGCATATCAGGACAGCCTGGAGAAGAGAAGGCTTCAGGGAGAACTTAGAGCACCTTCCAGTACCTAAATGGGCTCCAAGAAAGCTGGAGATGAACTTTTGACAATGTTGGGAAGTCATAAGACATGGAAATGGCTTCAAACTGAAAGAGGGAAGATTTATATTAGAAATTAGGAAGAAATTCTTTACTATGAGGGTGTTGAGGCACTGGAATAGGTTTCCCAGAGATGATGTGGATCCCCCATCCCTGGAAGTGTTCAAGGCCAGGTTGGATAGCTTGGTTGCTTGGAGCAATCTGGTCTAGTGGAAGGTGCCCCTGCCCATGGCAGGGGATTGGAAATAGGTGATCTTTAAGGTACCTTTCAACCCAAATCATTTAATAAAGGAAAGACTGAACATGGCACTTAGTGCCATGGTCTCTAGTTGACATGGTGGTGTTGGGTCATAGGCTGGACTCAATGACCTCAAAGGTCTTTTCCAGCCTTAATGAGTCTGTGATTCTGTGGTTCAGATATTCTCTGATTACTGTTCACTGGCCAACCTCAGAAAAATCTCTACGTTCCTGAAATTTGCAAATCTGTTGAACCTGTTGAAGAGTTCTCAAAGCATTGCACCACAATGGCCATCGTTCCCTGAAGTATTACAAACAGCTCCAACCTGACAGTACTCTCTCCTCCAGGAGTGTTTGAACTGTTCCATGCTTGAGACTGATGTGTTTTGAAAACATTGTTCTGCACAATGCACCTCATACTTGTCAGGGCTGTTTAAAGATCTTGCCCAGTAAGCCTGTAATTCATCTGCTAACTGCTGGCAAGGCTGGGAATTTGTAATAGCAAGTCCTGTGCACTCACCCTGTACCTTGGTAGTCTCAGAGTCATGGGCTGATGAGTAGTTCCTGGGAAGCTGCTCAGCACCTGGCAAATTCAGATCCTCTGAGAAAAATACTTAGTGCTGTGTAATGCCACCACAGCAAACAGACTGGAGCTATTTATTCACACTTGAGCGTTGCAGTAAATATCAATGCTCTGTTTCCAGGATATGTGTTTCCCAGACTTCACCTCTCCCTATTTCCTGCTGCGTGACCCCTTCCACCTTGGTGTGATTTCTCCCATCTCTCCTTGCTCAAACTTGTCAAGTATTTCTCTTCACTCTCCCCACCTCAACCTCTGTTCTTTTCCCCTTGAATCGATTGCCTCGTATTTTGTTATCAGGAGAAAAACTGCAACCAGTAGTGAAAGCTGAAGCTGCTCCTTCAGTGTGAACTGCTCTATAGCTGCAGATCAGTTGGCATCACCCTCTTTGTTTGGTTTGTCATGGGGCTTTTATTTTATTTTAATAACCAACGAAATTATCAGACAGGTCTTTTTCTGAAAGGAGAGGGCCCTCTGGGCCTTCTGGGCCTTCTGAAGTCTGCAGCTGTGTCACAGCTATTTGGTGTTCAAAGCAGCTCCTACTCATTTAGCCACAGCTCAGCTCAGCTGCCCTTGTCAGTGTTATCTTCCAAAATTTTCACAGTAGATTCAAACACATAATGTGTCTTTGTTTTATATTTTACTACAGTTGGAAAAACACTTGCAAAATTAGTTTTCAGGCTGGTTACTTGTATCTCTATAAATCTGCCAACATTTATTCACATTTTGAGCCTATTGGGGCCCTTCTAGTGAAGCAGAAGTGCATCTTGGGTGAAGGACTCAGTTATGACTCTGTTCAGGGGTTCAAAGTAGCTGAGGATGTACAAGATGCTTTCAGCTGGCTGTCTGTACCTGCATGGCAGCATCTGTACCCCTAATTCAAAAAACCTGCAAGGTGCTAATTGCCTCTCTGGGGATTGTGTGACATTTAACATATTCTCTGTGTCACGTTCTCCTCTTCCCTCACACCAGTAATTGCTGCTTTCCCTGGCAAGGGAGAAACTTAGGGAAGTTAAGTTCAACATGTTTTTGTTCATTTTGGGAAATGTTATAATTTTTTGCTATATATGAGTAAATTACTACTTTCCCTCTCCTCTTACCCTGCTGCTTGCATGAGACAGCAGCAAAGACATGGTGCTCCATGGGAAAAGAACGTCCCAAAGAGGCTGCAGGATCATTCCATGAAGCCTTTGAAGTGAGGAGAACAGGACTTGGCACTGTAAAAGAGCGATTCTTTCTGCCACCATCACATGGATCCACTTTTAATGAGTTGTGCCTCTTCCTCCCATGGTTGCATGGTGTCCTTGGGGACTGACAGTCTGTTGCCCTGAGCTTGAACAGCTCTCAGCATGATGAGGCCAGTTTCACAGCTGCATCCTTGACCTTCCCTAGGAAATAATACAATACACGTTTCTTCATGCAGGCATAGGGCAGGGACTTCTGCATGGATGAAGGGAAAGGGGCCAGCCCTGTTGCCTTTTTTCCAGTCCCACCAATGCTAACCTGGCTCTGCACCTGGCCAGGCAGCTGTAAAGCAGCACAAATATGTTAAAGCAGCCCCTTTCCTTTCTATCCCACACCCCCATGGAAAGTTGTGATGCTTTAGCAATGAGATATCTCTGCAAGTTGGCTGGCTACAATTTCCAGCCATCACTGGCCAATAGCAACACAGACTTTATCTGCAGTGAGAGCATTAGGTAAACTCTGCTCCAAGGAACAGGACTCCTTCCCTTTTTTTTTTTTTATTAAACAAACTTGAGCTTTTCAATAAAGAAGGATGTAAAATAATCTCTGACAGTGGAGCAAATAGAACAGCCAAAAGAGACAGAGCTGCTAACTCAGCTCTTTTATTTATTTAACCATGGTAACCTCTGTGGTAAGTCACTTTGTTTTTCCCAAGACCTTGGCAGCACATTGATGGTGGCATCGAGACCTAGTGTTCTAGACAGTCCCCAGAGCCAATGTGACTGGAGATGGATATGATGCTAACCTTTCCTGGTGAGTTGACTAATAAGGACAGTCCAGTATGATCTCCACAATTTCTGCAAGATGTTGAGATCCAGATATGGCCACCCCAACAGTTTGACCTAATCACCAGGGAAATTGCTTTGTAGGCAGCCATTTAGCACATGGATGCTCTTGGCTCCTGGAGTTCTCTTTGCAAAAGCATTTTTTGCCCTCCTCTGCTGAAGGTTGCCAGAACATTTTCATGAGATTTCTCCCTTTTCTGTGCTCTTCTGTGCACACCAAGGAGATCAATGCATGTTGTTTAATTATCATTGAAGCTAAAGGAGGGCCATAGGAAGCATTGGAGAATTCAGAAATGGTGGTGTGTTCATGCTCTTGCTTTTCCATAGCAAGTTAAGGGATTGAATACAGTACCGTGGAACATGAGTTTGGGGTTAAATTTAATCTCTTACACATTATAGAGGGGATGTCAAATCCACTGTGACGTGTAGATTTAAGTTTACCCTGTCTTCATCCTGTGTTGATCACAAGCCTTGTCAAATGCTCTGAGGGGTGAAATCTTTTTGCAGGAGTTTTTCAGACTCCATTCCAGGGTAAGATCTTCAGCATGTAGGATGGCACCTTATTTATCTGCTGACCATAAAACACAGTTATTGGACTGAAGCCTGCAGCCCTGTCAGTTCTTCTGCAGAAAATTCACTTCTATACAAGGCATCCCCTTGAACAAGGATGAAAAAGATTTAGGCCCTGCCCAGAGACTCCTGGCAGGGTTGGGTTCACTTTGTCCATCACTTTGAGGAGTGACTGTTGGCACTGCAACACTTCTCTGATATAAGAGACATTACAGCGAGAGAGCAGGAGAAAACAAATCATTTAAAAATATTAAAAGGGATACTGGTTCCAACTAGTCCTGCAGACACTATTTGCCAGAGCATGGGGAGGGTGGAACAACTTAGGGCACCAGTAATGAGATACAGAGATTTGGACTGAGCTTAAGGACTATCCAGGGACCTGCTTTATGCTCCTTCTTGCCCAGTGGATGGAACTACTGCTAACATACAGATCAGGAAGGCCTCCTACAGCCCAGGTTACTGTCCCGGCCCTGGAATAGCTCCTTCCAGCTTTCTGGGCAGAGACCAGGAGCAGAAGCTGCAGCTGCCAGACTGGAGTCGCTCTGTGAATAGATGGCAGATAGATAGCAGAGGTGCTAAAAAATCCTTGTTTTAAGTTGCCAGTGCTATTTCTCTCTACATAGCAGCAAGCACCAGCAAGATGCCAAATTGGTCTTGGGTACACATGTGCACCTGTACTTAGCATTTTGATCCATTTTTACTTTCTGGCTTCCCTGTTACATTTGGCTGTTGGCTGCTTGCAGACTGTCCCTATGTGTAGGAAGTCGAGTCATCAAGGAAAAAGACCAGCCTGATTTTGCCAGTGCTATTTCTCTCTACATAGCAGCAAGCACCAGCAAGATGCCAAATTGGTCTTGGGTACACATGTGCACCTGTACTTAGCATTTTGATCCATTTTTACTTTCTGGCTTCCCTGTTACATTTGGCTGTTGGCTGCTTGCAGACTGTCCCTATGTGTAGGAAGTCGAGTCATCAAGGAAAAAGACCAGCCTGATTAAACAGAGAACTTAGGCTGGAGCTTGGGGGGAAAAAAGAGAATGTATCATGTCTGGAAGGAGGGTCAGGCAAGTTGGGAAAACTATAAGGATGCTGAGAGGTCATGTAGGGCAAAGATTAGGAGGGCCAAAGCCCAGCTGGAACTTGTTTAGCTCTTAGAGTCAAGGAAAAAAAAAAAATTTTTATAAATACATTGGTAACAAAAGAAGGGTCAAGGAGGGTGCCCATCAGTTGATAAATGCAGAGGGTAGTGTAGTGACAGGTGATAAGGAGAAGACAGATGCATTCAATGCCTTCTTTACCTCTGTCTTTAATATCAAGACTGGTTGTCCTCAGGATACCCACTCCAAGAGCTGGAAATTGGTGATCAGGAGATAAGCAAAGCCCCTGTGATCCAGGAGGAGAGGGTTAATGACTTGCTATGCTAATTGGATACTCACAAGTCCACCCCAAGGTAATGAAGGAACTGTCGAAAGAACTTGCTAAAACACTTGCAGTCATCTACCAGCAGTCCTGGATAACTGGAGAAGTTCTCTTTGACTGGAAATTGGCAAAAGCGATACCCCTCTATAAGAAGGGTCGGAAGGGGAATCCAGGGAACTACAGGCCTGTAAGCCTAACCTCAGTCCCAGGCAAGGTCATGGAGAAGATCATCCTGAGTGATCATACGGCACATGCAGGGCGACCAGGGGATCAAGTCCAAGCAACATGGATTTATGAAGGGAAGGTCCTGCTTGACCAACCTGATCACCTTCTATGACAAAGTGAACCACTTAGCGAATGAAGGGAAGGCTGTGGATATGATCTATCTGGATTTCAGTAAGGCATTTGACACTCTCTCAGAGCCTTGCTTCTAGAAAAATTGACTGCTTGTGGCTTGGATGAGTGGACTCTTCAATGGGTAAAAAAACTGGCTGGATGGCCGAGCCCAGAGAGCTCAATCCAATTGGCAGCCAGTCCCTAGTGGTGTTCCCTATGGCTCAGTGTTGGGGCTGGTCCTATTTAACATCTTTATTGATGATCTGGACATGGGGATTGACTGCACCCTCAGTAAATTTGCAGATGACACTCAGATGGGAGGAAGTGTCAATCTGCCTGAGGGTAGGAAAGCTCCACAGAGAGGACCTGGGCCAGCTTGATCAGTGGGCTGAGGACAACTACAACTACAGGATGTTCAGTAAGGCAAAGTGCTGGGTCCTGCACTTGGGACACAACAACCCCATGCAGGGCTACAGGCTGAAGGAGTGGCTCCAGTGTTGTCCATCAGAAAGGGACTTGGGAGTGTTGGTGGAGAGCAGCTCAATATGAGCCAACAGTGTGCACAGGTGGCCAAGAAGGCCAATGGTATCTTGGCCTGTATCAAGAACAGTGTGGCCAGCAGGACTAGGGAAGTGATCATCCCCCTGTACTCAGCATTGGTGAGGCCACACCTCAAGTACTGTGTTCAGTTTTGGGCCCCTCAATTTAAAAAGGACACTGAGGTGCTGGAGTGAGTCCAGTGAAGGGCAATGAGGCTCATAAAAGGTCTGGAGAATGTCATATGAGGAACAGCTGAGGGAATTGTGTTTGTTTAGCCTTCAGAACAGGCAGCTCAGGGGTGACGTCATCACTCTCTAAAAGTACCTGAAATGGCATTGTAGAGAGATGGGGCTGGTCTCTTCTGCCATGCCTGCAGGGAGAGGACTAGAAGGAACGGTCATAAGATGAGACAGGGGACATTCAGATTACATGTTAGGAAAATTTTCTTCCCTGCTAGGGTGGTCAGGCACTGGAATAGATTGCCCAGGGAGGGGTGGAGTCACCATCCCTGGAACTGTTTAAGAGGCATCTGAATCTGATGCTGGAGGACATGGTTTAGGGGCTCCAGGAGAGTGACAGGCGAATGGTTGGACTTGATGATCTTAGAGGTCTCCTCCAACCTTGATGATTCTATGCTTTGACATTCTATTTCACATATTTTTAATTGGAGCATTGTCTACCTTTCCACAGTGTTTCTTTCCTCAAGTCATTCTCGCCTTTTATAATTGTTATATATAAGTTTAAATTAGTTGTTGCACTTGTCTCCTCTCTTACATTATCTTCATACTTTTATCATGGCATCAATTCCTTTTCTCCCCAGCTCCTGAGATACCTTCTTTTGAATTTTGACTCTCTGGTGTCCCTAATCTCTAGGTTTCAGCATAGACATCTGTCCTTGGAACAGAAAGTCATGGCAGTAATCCTGCCTTTCCCTCTCCTGCTCTTCCAGGGCTGAGGAATTTCTTTTCTGTTGACTTGTCCTCACACTATCTCTCACATTTTAGCTCTTAGATACTATCACATCCCTAAAAATATAGTAGGAATTCAATCATACATCCTAAAGCAATGGCCAAGATCAAAGCTGGAGCAGGACTGAGAACAGCGATCAGGTCATAGAATTATAGAATCATAGCTTGTTAAAGTTGGGAAAGACCTCTAAGATCAAGTCCAACCATGCAAAGCCCATCAAGTCCAATAAAAATGGTGTCACCACCATATTCACCACTAAACCATGTCCTCAAGTGCCATATCCACACATATTTTTTAACACTTCAAGTCAGGAGCACTAGCTTTACCTAGAGCAGGATAAGACAGTGTTTTTAACTTGATCTGAAGACCTCATAGCAAACAGCCAATTCTGCTTTATTGACTGCAACTGAAGGGCTACAAAGGGAAGTGAAAACCAAGTAAGCTCTTTGTAGTTTGACATCAGTCCAAGAAGAATCTGCGCTTTTCTAGGAAAGAGAGGTTCACCAGCTGAAAGAGGTTTGGAAATGGTGGGATGAAGAAAGAGCTGTCTTCACTGGCAAGCTCTTACTGGGAATGCTGGTTTTTATCCTTGCTCAGTACTTTGCTGTGGTGGTGGCATGGCTTTATAAGTCTCCTTCTACACACAGCTAAACATGAGTTGTATTCCCAGCTCCTTTTTGTATTGCTGTGCACTGCAATCCCTGAATCAAAATGTATTCCTGCTCTTACCTTTGAAGTAGTTACCTTTGATCTTTGGAAATGCAGAGGCACTGGAGGTAACAGGAGTATAATTATGCCACTCTGAATAACCTCAGGACAATTAAGTTAAAATGCCAGTTCTCACAGTAAAGTTCCTGCTCTGTGTAATGTCTACAGTGGTCAAGCACTCCATATTTCATCTCAGGGTAAAGACTTAACCTCCAATGCCTGCAGGATATTCAGTAAACTCAGAAAAATCCTGTTTTCCATTATGCCAACACAGCATCCATCTCTTTTCTACAAGTGTTGTGTTTTGATTTGTATGAAAGCAAAAGACTATATATTCTAGGTTTAATAAGCAGAGTATCTTGCAAATTCTCCTTGCGACAAGTTGCCAATCATCTATGTTCTGTAGGTCACGTCTGCTGCTTAGCAGTCTTAAGCCTACATTTGAGATATGGGCAATATTCCTTCACTATGATGATGTGTCAAAAGTACCATTATTCTGCTTTTTTCCTTACTGAAGTCAACAGAAGCAATGTTAGGACAACTCTCTGCTTTTAAAATTTTCTCTCATCCAGAGGCAATGAACAGCTGGATACTCTCCAGGGTGGTGTAAAGAGAGTTTTGGTGAAATAAGGCTAGTCTTTCTAACTTAAACTGTTTCCAGATTCCTAATTCTCCATGTCTTTCTTGTAGGTTCACAACAGAAACCTGCTGTCCCTTGACTTTGATCGTGTGACAAGGACAGAAAAAATCTATGATGACCACCGCAAGTTCACGCTCCGCATCCTCTATGACCAAGCAGGGAGGCCCAGTCTCTGGTCACCCAGCAGCAGACTGAACGGGGTCAATGTCACCTATTCCCCAGGAGGACACATTGCAGGGATTCAGAGGGGCACAATGTCAGAAAGGATGGAGTATGATCAGTCTGGCAGAATTACATCCAGGATCTTTGCTGATGGCAAATCATGGAGCTACACTTACTTGGAGAAGGTAAGAAACCTCTTACCTCAGAGATGGTGCACTTGAATCACATGGTCTTTACTCCTTTGACATCACTACAGCTGCACGCCTTCACATCAGCTGATTTCTGGTCCTTATGGTCCAATACTCCTTTTCTGCCTGCACTAAGGTGCACATAGTGACTTTGATGCCAGACCACTACAGAGAACTTGAAAACTGTCTGAGAAGTTTCTTCCCAGTCATGCTGAGGGTGTGTCTTAATGCTCTGAAGCTTTGGCATGTGATTTTTTAAGCATGATCTTCCTTCGTTAAGTGCAATATAAAATATATTCAGGTAAAGTCAGCACAGTGAACAGTAGGAATTTCCAGTAGGTTTTTTCATGTGAAAACAGCCCATACCGTCTGACATCCTGCCTTCTTCAAGTGGCCCATTATAAATACGTGTAATTAAAAGGTATGAGGCATGAATCCAGCCACACTGTTGTAGCACACTTTGCAGTGTTCTCTGGAGTCTGCGCTGCGTAGATTGGCATGGAACTTACTTCTTCTGGGTAGTACCATTTATCATTACACTGCCCAGTGACCTGTAGATCTATATGCGATATACCTGGTGTTGGAATATTTAATTCCTGATTTTTGTGTAGTGCCTATCTGTACAGTACTTAACAGTTTCAGGAAACCATAGTATCTTTTAAAAAGGGAAACTTAGTTATATGCAAAAAAAAATCCCAGAACAAATAAGCATGCAGGCAGAAGTTTGGAGTAAGAGGATATAAAAGATAGGGTGATACAATGAATTAATTTGGCATTGGAATATGTTGGGGGATACATTTTCAAGAAGCTCTACCAATTTTATTTATTTAGTCTGTAAAAACTATTGGCATGGGGAATTTGGGTAGACAGTCAGCTACTGGGTATTGATTTGAACAACTGAGCGTTCTGAGCCTAGACCTTCCTTGCTGCATTGACAGCTTCTTTCTCTGACCCATTCC